ATTTGAAAATATAAAATTCTAGTATGTAGTATTATTAACCCATTGAGTGGCAGCACTCTCCACTTGACATGTAAAATCATCTGGCGTTAGACAGAGCAAAATCGTCTGGCATTAGACAGAGTAAAATACTAAAGTATGGCTAATGAGGGTGCATTGCCTCTTAAAAGATTAACCTGTCAAGTGGAAATCAGGCCTCGAATTTCCCTGAAATCAATCGACGGCAATGGCGTTAAAAATTGCCGTAGAACGTAACAGTTGTCTACGCCAATTTTGGCAGTTTCCACGGCATTTTTCAAATTACTGTAACAAAAATTTAATTTTATTGTTAATATAGTAATTTAGTGAATAGTATAAAAATTATACTATACGGCAAAAAATTGCTGTCGTTTCCGCAATGATCCACGGCATTTTGTACTCCCTCTACGGCAATTGCCGCGATAAAATTCGAGCCCTGGTGGAAATACACCAATATGCACTCAATTTTGTTATTCTATTATGTATAATACCAGACAATTTTATTTGTCATCGGGAGAGTGTTGCCACTTAATGGGTTAGTCTGTTATTGGGTCCTACAACATTTATTTGAAAGAATAAGTTAAGGCTGTTATTTCTATGGACATTTTTCGAGGGTTGCTGTTGCCTTCAATATGTTCACTGTACTCAAAATTGATCCTACTTCGAGCAATTTTTCAACATGGTGTCGTATATAATTTAAAAAATATTTATTTTTAAATGAAACAATGCTGGAAATTGGATTTGCACAGTTTGACTTCATCAGGCAAGTGCAACTGTACAACTCTTAAACATTGTTTAACCCATTGAGTCGCATTGCACCCGGATGCACCCTACGTTAGTATTTTACTCTGTCTAACGCCAGACGATTTTACTCGTCAATGGGAGAGCGCTGGCGCTTAATGGGTTAATGTTCTATATATGCAGAATAATATTATAATTGTGCTTATTTTTTGTATTTTCCAGGAACATTGTCGAAGAAACATTCATTTTCCAACATACAATAATTATTAAAATTTATTGTAAAGTTAATTGGTCCAATATTTTTGACTACTGTAATATCTTTATCAATAAACTTTTTGATATAGATTTAGACAAATATGATGTATGACGAATTAGTTTGCTTGCGCAATTATGTAAACGCTATCTATATTAATTTAATCATTTTCTGTTATAATTTGAACTTGAAAATGAGGTCAAGATGACTTCGAAACGTCGTTCTTTAATAAATTTGTTATCGCTATCATATTTGTCTAAATCTACTATAATGTCACAGGACTATTATAATATTTGTAGTTTTAGTAAAGTACATACGTGAACGGCATGCCACAGCATAATGGCCACGGAGGCCACACTTATAGCAACGTCCTAAATTTAAAGAAAATACAATCAGTTTTCAAGGAATATTCATTTAGGTTACAGTACATACTGGAAGTGCACTCACTAAGATGTTGATAAAATAAGATGTTAACAAAATATACAGTACTTACCATTGCCCATTCTCCTTGCTTGATTTTCTAAATTAGAAAAATAGAATCGAAAGAAGTTTAATTTTCCAAAGTTCTGAAGTAAACAAATGTGAAGTTCTACTATATATATAGACGAAAACAATGACGTTAAAGTTTGACCCAGAGCTAGTGCTAATCGTGCGTTCAATAACAGTCCTCAGTACTTAGTGTATAAATCTATTTCAAGAACTATACCGTCACGACGTTGTGGGTGTCGTTCATGATTAACTGTAATGAAAGAATGTTGATTAGTTTGAATTACACAAGAGAGGTATAATTAAACTTTATAAAGAATGTACTATTACCAAGCCGTGAACGTTGTTGTCGTTCTTGAACTGAAAAAAATAGTACTAACTGTAGTTAGACCAAATTACATATTACAAATATAGGTAATATGTAAGTATATCAACATTAGAACCATACCATTTGCATCTTCTTGTCGAGGTTGTTCATTCACTGAAATAAAATCATGCACCTTATTGTAGAAGTAATAATAATATAATTATAAGTATGATTGAACCATACTGAACATATTGTTTTATAAGATTAACTTACATGGCTGGACTTCTCCTTCATCCTCTTCGACTTCACTTTCTATAGTTAATTAGAAAAAAAATATGTTGCAAACATTCATAAGAAATCTGTAATATACTTAATCTGTAATATATTGTACATAATATATTCTTAATTATCAATCATTACTATATTATTGTAGAAAACATTCACAACTCTACCATGGAGAAAATAATTGAAAGTTAATCCTTTCTCGTCAATTGAGTACATCAGATTTTATTATTTCTCAAACAGAATGACCTAGCTTTAAGAATTTGTGTTTTAAATATATAACTGAATTCTTACCGTCATCAACGTGAACGTCTAAAATAAAAGATGTTGTGTTAGAAGGTTAAAGATGAGCTTACTGTGTCACATGCATGATATTGCAAATTGATAATCCTTAGAATGTTATAACGATGCTCTGTAAAATGAAATTGTCAGTATACACTTTATTACATGTAGCTACTGCAGGAGAGGACAATCTACAACTACTGTACATTCATGGTACTCACTGGGTAATTGGATTGAATTTTAACATGTTTACATGAAAAAATATTTCATTGTGGCTGGCCAAGAGGGTTTTCGCCGAGCAATTGGTCACAATTAACTTTACCTCTGCATGGTCACTGAAATATTGGTCACTGAAATATTGGTCACTGAAATATTGGTCACAAAAATATACCTCGAGGTCACAAAAATATACCTCAAGGTCACAAATATACTTCAGTCTGTACAACTGTAGCCAAACAATTGGTGACAACTGGCCTCTGTTCACACAATTTACTATTAGTTGTAAGTCCATTTAATTTTATGTGAGGTCCAACCAGCTAGAACAAATGTTGCTTTATATAAAACCAAAAAGTAGATATTATACCACATATTTATTGCAATGTACATACCAAGAATAGCAGGGTTGTCCAGTTCCGGTAATTCCACTAAAATGAAATAGTTATAATATAGGGATTAGTTATAATATAGGGATTAGTTATGAAATAGCTAAGTTTATAAGTCCAAGCTATACCTATATGTTCAACCTGGATGCCTCTTTTAATATGGTTTTATTCGCTCATTCAAAAAATTGGAGCAACTTACTTTTGTGTTTGTTAAATCTTTGCTATAATTATAAAAGAAAATATTAAAGGAAATCATTAATAAAATACAACATCTCCACTCCCAGTGCATATTAAAACTACTGTAATATTGAATACATTTCCATCTTTTATATTGAACAGGAATGTTTTTGGCCTGAAGCAAAGGCTGTTTAACATCAGCTAAGAAGCATACTATAAATAATTTTAAAATATAGTCATACCTTTCCGCCAAATTATTTGCAATATCTGTAAAAAAAACAAAAAAAACTGTTAAAAACACGAAAACTTTTTTGTTGTGACAAACTCAGTAAATGAAGTTATTTTTGCCCAAAACATATATATTCCACAAATAGTAGTGTAATTATTTTTCGTTCAAAGATACAGTGTATGTTCAAAAAACGTAACAAATTTTAAAGGGTTTTTTTTTCGGAAAAAAACTTACTGTCAGTTACTGCCTAACAAAAAAGCCAAAAACCAAAATTTCGCGCGCTTCGTATTCACGTGGATGTTGCGTGTGAATTTTCGGTAACCATAGTAACACACGCAATATCCACGAAGAGTGATCTGGAGTGTCTTGAATATTATTCTGGGGCCAGTTGTTCAAAACTGGTTTAGCTTAAACCCCAGCTTAACCTAAAATTCAAAGCAAACTTCCCAGTGGCGTGCTGGGTACTATTTTTCTGGGGGGGCCAGTGGGCTGTCAACAAATATGCGCCCCCTATATAATGTTTCGCTTGATAAACGAGGGCCGAAGGCACGAGCCGAGCGCCCCAGGTGCGAGGTTTGTCTAGGGGGGTCCGGGGGCATGCCCCCAGGAAAATTTTTGAATTTAGAGTCTCTGAAGTGCCATTTCCTGGACTTTGGGGGAAGACTTGACAGAAATCTGATGGTCAGGAAACGACATTAGTCGAAATTTGCAATTTGGTTTGAATTTAGTTGTAGTATAGTACTTATATTATGCAATATACCAACAACTTCCAGCGATTAATCTAATCCCAATTCTATTCTCTACTGATCTATTGATCTGAATACAATTACAACATACAGCTCTTTTATACAATAACACACGGATCCCACGCATTTTAAGGTTTCCCTGCCTGGCTGCCAAAGGGCGCGTTTCAGCATTATTTCATTACTCACATTACTCATGATGATTCTAGCGCAAACAACTAAATTACGTACACAACTTTACATTACCATAACTTAAACTATCTATATTTTGCGCCGCTCTTGTGATTCGTGAAGCATAATAAAGGGCATAAATAATACCAGCAAAAAAGGGCATGATTCCCGTGATCGCTTCGAAACCTGACCAATATTCCGGTGATGAGACATTGCGTGTGATCACAGTTCATATTTCTATATGAACGATTTCGTGTGTGTGAGCCGTGAGGTAGCAAATTAGCAAATAGGTTAGATAAAATAGTCTGTATAATTCAATATATCACTTTGTCGCCTATGCGCTTAGTCTGTTTATAAGCATATAAACACATCTTTTCTCGGCGGAAGTAACTATATTTTTTTGAATGCGTTTTTCCCACCCACTTTCAAAACTCGGCGCGGGATCGGCGCCCCCTTTTCATTTTTGCGCCCTGTGTAGTAGTCAGTGTATATAAACATATACTTTAATATCAAACAACAATATAAACATTACATGAACAAAAACACGAATCAAATATGGTTTTTCTTCTACGACATTATCCTATAAACTAGCGGCCATTGAGAGTCCATGTGCTCACTACCTGTTCGCAGGTTGTACCACCCTAAAATCCTACTACATTCCATTCCTTTTTAAAAAAAGAGAACATATGTTTGGTAATATAAACGTATTTAGCTAACAAGGAAGACACTTGTTCTTATAACAAGCACAAAGTAATTGTAAATCTTCAAGTTGCTTTTGAGCGTTCTGTCCAATCTTATACTTATCGTCTAACTCAATAGAACATAACACTCTATTTGACTGTACAAGTTCAGTAGCAGGTTCATCTTCTACTTTAACTTGTCTCAGGGCTTTGTTCCACTTTGTCTTCTTCGATTTTCTATCCCAAAGTTGTATATCGTACACGTCTTCGTCTTCGTAGTAGCTGACGATTCTTCCTATACCATAGCGTCCTCCTAGACGGTCTAAATGGTATTTCACTGGTTGACTGGCATCCAACAGTTTCAGAGAGTTTTTTCCACCGGTTGCGTCAGGCATTTCAAACTGTATCGACGGTGTATGAATCAGCAACTGACGAATTCCACCAATGCTTTGAAGAATCTTTTTGAACTCGGGATTTTTTGTGTAAAGGTATTTGCACGCTTCTCCGGTTGATGACTTATAGTCTTTTTGTGATTTTAACCAAGCATGCAGTTCTTCGATCATGATTCTTATGTCGTCATCAAAAAAGTCTCCAAGCTTTTCGTAGACAATAAACGAACCATTTTCAAACTGCGGGTTGCGATGGGATTGTGAGGTTTCGGGCGGGGTGTCCTCTTCTTCGTTTGGATTGGTTTGTTCGGGGTTAGATTCGTTGACAGACCAGGGTTCAACTTTGATCAATTTGTCCACAAGACAAGGGGTCACTTGTAGACCATGTTCCGTTTTCTTTTTAACCAATAAACAAGGGGCACCCCAGGGAGATGTTGATGGTTCTAAAATGTTTTGTTCAACCATTTTTTGAATTTCTCGTTTGATAAGCTGTAATTGAACAGGAGAGTGGGAATATGGCGTTGAGTATTGGGGTTTAGCATCACCAGTCTCAATACTGTGTTCGACATGGTTAACTCCGCGAAATGGAGCTCCTGGTAACATAAAAACATGGGCGTGTTCGCGAATAAGAGACTCAAGTTCAGTTTTTTGTGTAGTGGTGAGATTGCAATTGTCATGCAAATGGATGGCTTCAACAACCATATCTTTGTAATCTTCAGAGAATGGATCTAACGTGGTGTCACTTAAAGGAGGTAAATCACGGCTCTCATCACTCAATATCAAATGATTTGCACAGTAAAGGTTAGTTAATTGACTAAAACTTGGTTCTTTGTTTTTACGAAATGCAATATTCATCTCTTTCTGGGCATGGAGTGGGTTAAAACATTGAAATGGATGGGGTAAAGTATCATGACAAACTTTTGCTTGCTTGTGTTGAGCTTTACGGTAAAGGTTTTGATGTAATTGTACTTGCTCAAGTTGTTCAACAGCTTCACAAGCCATATCTGAGGCTGTTTCGGATGCTGCTTGTGAGAAGTCAGCTTTGTGTTCATCAGTCATTGGTGTGATGTCGGCAATCACACCAACAGGTAAAGTCTCGGTATGCTTGCTTTGGTTATATACAGCAAGGTTGACATAAAACTTCTGCTCTGGTTCAATTTCTACATTGTTGGGTTCTTCAAGAAACTTGCTGCTACTGCATTTAACATTGACAAAAGTGGTCTTAAATGCATTAGTCTCATGCTGTATTTGATCAAGGTTAATCGGACCAGGAATAACATGTGCATATGTGGTGGTAAAAAGAGGGCTAGCTTCAATCCAACTTCGATTACCCAATGACTGTATTGTGTCGGCTATCATACTAGACAAGGCAGGTGAAAGGATCATACTGCCAATAGTAGCAACAATTACACAGACTTTGATAATGTTAATCCCAGGTGATAGTTTTTGAGGGGTTTCTACTACTGTACTCAAGGATACGACATTGGTTTCGACTCTTCCAGAAGGACGGACAGGAGGTTCCCGTGGGCACTTTATAGCAAATTTCATTTGGGGATGTGTAAAACTTACAATTCGTTCTTGGTGTTTAACAATTGCATCTGTGGCTTCCAAATGATTGTTACCAAACAAAACATGCCAAGCTAACTTGGGTACAACCAACATGGTATGTACTGAAGATTTCCCAGGGCCCCAGGTAATAGGAATATCTTGTAGGGCAATCCCTTGTAAAACAGCATCTTCATTAGCAACATTAATTGCAACTGGCTTGGTAAGCTTAGTCATTTTCAAGTCTGGATGCATTTGTTGGACACGTTCAGCATGGATCAAACTACAAAGCGACACTGAGCAACAACTATCAAGAGGCAGCGAAAGTTCAACACCGGCTGATTTTACTTTCGCCCACATTATATACTTCTTGCTCAAGTCAGGAATTTCAACAGAATCAGCTGCAACGGATGGCATGCCAAATAGGGGATAATCACTGGCTGGTGGGTTATTGTCAGCAGGGGTGGTGGGTGGGGTAGGGGGTTTTGGATTTGGAAGTACAGTTTCCAATTTAGAGCAAAGACTATCAAATTGTGCCTGAAACTTACTTGATAGCTTTTCTTCCAGTTGACTTTGTGTAGGCAACTTATCTTCTTTGTGCAACAGTTGTTTACATCCCTTCTTTTTGCAAACCAGACACACATGTTGTCGATGAAACTTGCATTGATTATCAGGAAGTAAGCAGCGAGGAACAGCTCGTTGATTCCACTGGAGGCACACTTCGGTTTGACTGGTAGTATTTCCACGAAATGTTTGTTTTCGTTCTTGGTTTGTCCCAGGATTGTACAAAGCAGGACAGTTTCTTTTGAAATGACCAGGTTGATTACAGTTGTAACAGGATTTGGGTTTTAACATAGCTTTGTCTTCACGAAATGGGTCAACATATTCTGCTGAAAGGAGAGGTAATGGGGGAAAACTTTGTTCAAATCTGTTAGCAGCTTCAATAACTTCCGATAGAGAAGAATACTTGGCGTCTCGGCTCATCAGAGCTTTTCCAATTTCCGGTCGAAGTTTTATCAAAAATGCATGTCTCAGTTCGATATCATCATTCGTGCCTGTATAGTGTATTCCAGGAATACATTTCTCGAGTTCGTGTTGAATGTCACAGAATCGATGTGCAAAAGTTGAAACAGGTTCTGCTTTACTTTGTTGGAGGTTGTAGTAGACTTGAAGTAATTCACGTATACGTTCATCTTTAGGTTTTCCACGTTTCTTAACTAACGAGGCTTTGACAAGGTTAAAGTACGTTTCATACTGTTCGATAGTAATATTGGCAGGGTCCTCTCCAAGAGCATGTTTACATTCTTCTTCAGCAAACACAACAGAATCATAAGCACGTAAATCTTGCTGCACCTGTTGCTTAAGATAGGTTGTCCAATGTTTAGCTGGAACTCCAGAAGATTTTAATAGCGTCGTAAGCTGGTCAAGAAAACGGTCAAGTTGTTCGTCAGGCTTACCTGTATAGCGAGGTAAAACCACTTGAGGCAACTTCAAAGTGTCAACATGGCTTGAACTTGGGGAATTTGTGGCTAAATCTGCGACAGTTTTCGCGAGTGCTTCGATGTGTTGTCGATTTGCTTCTTGGGCATCATGTTGGTTTGTTAGCTGGGACTTTACCACGTCAGCTAGTCCTTTAACGATCCCTGTGAGTTCCTCAACTGTCGCCATACTGTATTTAGTTCTTGTTACAAACGATGTAAAAATCCTCTAAAATTCTGTTAAAACGATTTGCATCCTCCACCAATTGTAGTAGTCAGTGTATATAAACATATACTTTAATATCAAACAACAATATAAACATTACATGAACAAAAACACGAATCAAATATGGTTTTTCTTCTACGACATTATCCTATAAACTAGCGGCCATTGAGTCCATGTGCTCACTACCTGTTCGCAGGTTGTACCACCCTAAAATCCTACTACACCTGCAAGAATTGCCAGCTGGGGGGGGGGGCAGTGGCCCCCCGGCCCCCCCTGCCAGCACGCCACTGAAACTTACTCACAGCTTGTCTATGGAAATTTGGAAATATTTTTTCAGATATCTTGTCTGGATCTAAGGAGTTTACATCTCTGAAGTTTTGAAATTAACATGCGTGCAGAAATACATAAACTAAAACAGAAGGTTAAATTTTAACCCAGGGTTAGCGCTAACCCACCGTTGAACAACCGGCCCCTGAGTTCCGTTGTACGAAGGTCAGATATACATGTACATGTAGGGCTATCCACCGGATAGTGATTTTTTCAAACTTTATAAAATGCTTGAAAAACTGTGAAACTATGGATAGAGACGACACACAAGTGAGAAGAAGTATGAAAAACATTTAATTTATAAATACTAAACTTTAATACGAGTTATACCAATCAACGACTGATTTAACAAAGCTTGAATAATAACTATCCGGTGGATAGCGCTATCCGGCCTTCGTTTAATACTGTAGGCTTCGTACAACCGGTCCCTGTAGTCTTGATCTGAAGGGAACTGTTTTATCAATAGAATAGTTACTCAAAACAGGAGAAAAATCTTACCTTTATATGAATTTGGTTCAATTTCTAAAGATATAAAATATTATGTAGAAGAAAAAGACAAAGTTTTAAATTTATAGCATATAAATTATACGTAATAACACTATTTAATATTAAGCACAGGTATGTCAACATGCAGCCAACCTCAAAAACATAATATATAATATTATGTCTAGGTAACAGGCAATGACAAACTCCCTGAATGCCTTCCTCAAAAACACAATAATAGAGGCATAGACTACACCTTTAAAATTGTGCCTAGTAACAGGAGAAATAACCTCGAAAGCACAGTATATGTGCCCAGTATACTATGCTGGTGCTTGAACACCACAACTCTTCAACTTAATATGACAACTCATGACCTATTATATGTTTGGACAGTTTTCTCTGCAAGCACTTTAAGTCGCCGTTCAGCTTCGAGTCGTTTTTGCATATTTTTACTCCTACCAATTGCTTTCAGGCGATCAAATGTCATAGGTTCAAATACAATATCATGAATCGATCTCACCCGTGATGTAGCTACAAATGTGCATCCAGCAACTTTTTCTCCTTTACCTCAATCAACAACAGCTTTTGTTAGTGTCTGTCCTTGTGACTTATGAATAGTCATTGCATACCTCAACCGCAAGGGCACTTGTTGCCTTGACAGATACTTTCCATCAGCCACCCATTCAAACACTTTGGGTGGCACAGGTATACATTTAGAACATGCATCTAGGAATGCAGGACCAGTGTAACTATGGAAGTGTACCAATACTGCTATTGGCAGGTTTGGTGGACCCATATTCTCTGCAAACCAAATCTGCTCAATAGTGCCAAATGATCCATTGCAGGGACCAACTTCAGCCCACAGGTTGCAAGTGAGCATTACTTCTGCTTTTGTGGATAAAAACAGAACAGCATCCAATCCACCAGCTTCGTCCGACGTTGCCGCACTGGCACCATGACCAGAATGCTTTGCCTGAATTTTAGCAACAGGTTGTCCAAGCTGCAATAGCTTCTCGTAATTGTATTCAGCAACACTTTTCTTGTCAAAGTACAATCGGATGGCATCAGTAAATTGATCCATTGGTACACTTGTTGTTGAATGCTCCAACAATAGTTTCCAGTCCTCCCCTGTCACTTCTCCATTTCGCATTCTCATCAGCAAGGCTCTAAAAGCAACTGCCTCAGGGTCCTCATCAGCCTGATGCATAACTTGATCTAAAATAATGACAGACTCAAACATCAGATACAAACTATGTCCATGGTCACTTACTACAGTTCCATTACCTGAAACATACATTGGCTTATCACCAACAGGTGGTAATTGACCAAAATCCCCCATTAGAATTATTGACATACCACCAAAAGGGATATCTTCCTTTCCAGTACCAGCACGTAATCTATTGTCAAGCCATGATAGCATTTTATGTCCAATCATTGACATTTCATCAATAATCAGAAATCTTTTACCTTCCAGCCTCAGCTGTAACCGCTGTAGTGAATCACCCTGCAAATCCCTATATTCACAGATAGGAAGTTGAGCAGCAGAATGTAATGTTTGACCATTAATACTAAAGGCTGCAATCCCAGTAGTTGCTGTAACAACACACTGAGTGGCTAATACTTGTTTTGTTGCACTTATTAAGTATGTCTTACCTGTGCCAGCTGTTCCACACACAATCATATAAACAGGCTCGGCATTATCACCATTCTGAGATGTGATGATGTCATAAGCAAGGCGTTGTTTTTCATTCAAGGTGTCCGGATCAATTACACATTGTTGATCATCTTCTCGAAAATGCTGACCATGTTCTTCAGCCTCCTTTCTTTGACTATAAATCCATCCTGGACATTCCTTTAATAAATCTCTAGGCACAGCTCTTACCATTTCAAACCAGTCCACTGCTTCATTGTCTGACATCCGATTACCTGCTTCACCATAATCTTGGTTAATTCTGCATAACAACATCCAATCATCGACTTCCTCCTCATCATCAGGGTCAACTTCACTTTCGTCGTCATCATCTTGATTGTCACTTGGATCGTTTTCAAAGGTTTGACCACATTGCGCATCATGAACTCTGTCTGTTTCATCGGAATACCTAAACACATTTTCTTCTGCAAATTCATCTGTCATAAGAAAAAAATCATATGCATTAATAAACATTTGATCACTTTCATCCTCGTTGTTCCAAGCATTTGACGGTTGACCCTCCCATGGTTTAAACTTTATTAGTTGATATTTGCAGTATTTTCCAAAATCAGGACCAGCAGGATTAGCGGAAATCTTTGGAAATGTCCTGACAATGTATGGATTAGCTCGTTTTGTCAACTCACCTCGGACTTTCGTGTACTGTGACACATATTGCATCAGATTTAGCTGAGACAAGCCTGTATACCTACTCTTCAATTTTGTACGTTCTGCATATTCTTGTAGCGCAGATTTTTGAAGTACCTCATCGCTTTCGTTTTCTGCATCAATATTAACCTTCCTGCTGTTATCTAAAGAAATAGTAACAAAACTAAATGTGCAGCCAACCAGTGGTAGACTAAGTAACATATGTGCAGTTTCTTGTGCTGCCATATCTCTATCTCCAGCAACTTGAATCATTGCTTTCTTGAAGGCCGAAGAGACTTGATCATCATTCTGTAATGAAGACACAGACAATTTTAGTATTTCTGATGCCGATTTCGATCGGGGTTCTCCTTTCGCAGCATACTTGGCCATGTATCTTGCACAAGCCTTCTCATCTACAATGACTTGCAAATCTACATTTGCCCGCCAGTTTTCGAGCATCACCCTGTTATGTGAATTTAATCTTTGATCATTTCGTTTGGTATGTAACTCAGACTCAACAGACTTTGTATTCTTACCTACCACCAGCTCAATGCTCAGTTCTGTTTCTTCTTGCAATGGCTTTGGAAAACCAAATCTGCATTCTGCAAGCAGGTCCACTCTTTTCTGTTTCAAGCAATACGCTGGACTGCATCTAGTGTGTCTTTCTACAGTATTAACTAACCTGTGATAATCATTGTCACGATTATCCAATGTTGTAGCGCTAACGGCAGATGGATGAGGGTCTGGTATCCTCCAGTTTTCATCTGGCAATTCCTCATTAAAAGTTGTCACCAGCCAGTCAACATACCTTTAAAATAATCATAACTTATTATTAAACATGTGCGCTTTTTCTATTAGCCAAATATTACCGAATTAGTCATAAAACAGTTTTAATCACACCATAATTTGACTGAGTGAAACATTTTCCTGTGAAACCTGTATGACCACAGTCACAGATTTGTGCCACAGTTAAATTTCCACTTTCTATTTATGTAATTTCTTACATTCCAATGAAATCTTCAGAAATTATTGAAAATTCCTTTGAGGAAAATTGAAACCTTTTAAGGAATTTTATAAGGAATTTTTGTTTACATGTAAAATATTGTTACTTTTTCAATTTTAATGTAGCAAAGGTAATACTACCGTATTATAATATAATAAAATATGCATAATAATAAAAAAGATGGGCGAAAGACCTTTCAAAATTGTGGAGATTGGCTATCTGCATATATTATTAGCTGGATATTTGGTGAGTGTTTTGTGTGTTAAGGCAGATTTACACTACACAATTTTTGCCTTATGCAACCTGCTTGTACAACTTGAGTTTTACTGTGTAAAATATCAAGGACACAAGTTGACACTGTATTAAACTTGCATTTACTCACTTACGTTGTCATAGGCATAGTTGTGTGCTGGTTCACCCAGTACACTCAAGTTGTTACATGCATATAAGCAGGTTGTATGCGACAATTTTAGGCAAAAGTTGTGTACAGTAGTTTATCCTGCCTTTTAATTTACAGTAGTAGTCATATTTATTAAATATCCAAAATAGACAGCAGTGGTTAATACATGCATAATACAAAATTCGCTTTTTACAGTAGTTGACATGAACATTTGACCTGCACACTTTTAGTTGATATCAACATTTGGGAGCATGCCAAGGTATAGTTTTAATGGTATTTTGAAATGCTATTGCAATATATTGAGTAGGAGGTACAGTAAGACATCTCTAAAAATGCAAAATTCAATGTTATGACTATGAGAAGCGAGTCCGGTATTGTGTAACTACTGCAATAATTATGATCCGGTATTTTATTATTGAAACAATTATCCCACAACAGATTCTGCACAGTTAGCTTGATCTACATACAGTACACATTGGAAACATTAATATGGAAAATTTTTTTCTTACTGTATTACCAACTTCTCAGCATCTTCTCCCTGTCTTATCACATCCCCGCAAAGGAATTCAAAATCATCAGGTGACATTTCGTACCTTGTTGTCTCACTCTCTAGGAAAGCAACACATGCCTTATTACGTAATTCTCTTATATCAGGGTCATTTTTTAACTTTGCACATCCGTGGCAATGAATACTTCCCCTAGCTTGGTACTCAAAACGATACCAGTGCCACTCAGCATCCAAGACGCCATTAAGCCAATGTCTGACAAACTCCTGCAGCCGCTGCATAAAGAACCAATCAGTCAGATGGGGATTGTCGATTAGAGCTTGTGCTCGCTCAGATCTGCTTGCACCTTCATCATTCTGCAACAGCCTCTGTAAGTCTGGCCAATGCATGTCAGCTGCACTAAAGGTAAAGAAAAAAGTAGGGCAGCCTTTTTGTTCAATCAGGGCCAGCAATTCCTGCAGCCGCTGATACCAATACTGATTCGTACCTTGTACTTTGGACACATAGCGCTGCAACCTATTTACCATTTGATTTGCATTCATGGAATTGACCATCTGTTTCAGTTCTTCCATTGTCATGTTTGCATCAGCAGGATGTTGACGCAAGTAAACATTTGCTTGTGACAACAGCTGATGTCGTTGTTTCATGTTTAACGCCCAATAAGGAAACCGAGGGTGAGAAGCAAACCTCCATAATGAGATTACCTTCAGTAGATGGCCAGTCTAATGGATCAACCTCATTTACTGCATCTTGGATAGCCGCACCTTCTTTTCTCTGTCTTTGACGCATAGGAATAAACGATGTACCGCCACTTCCTAAAACTAACTCTTCCACACTTGCATTAGCACTCATTACTGGGTCTTGGGGAGGCCCCTCATTTTCAACATGAACTGAAAGCTCATTTTCATCAATGACATACCTTAGCTCATCAGGAATACCATTTTCTGGTAAACTTTGGATGACATCTCTATCAATTTCAATATTTTTAAAGAACGGATTGTTTGTCTTTAACCATAGTACAGCCTCAAGAACTTTGTGTCGACGCACAGTAAAGTCTCGATGCGTGTCTTCTGCACCATGTCTTCGCACAATCAAGACAGGCAAGTCTGCCACACGAGAAGGCAACCTATTCAAGAAACTTTGAATATCTTGTGGTAAGTTAAGTACATGTCCTTTATACCCCCTCTGACCCCCATGTTTTCTATACACTCTCATAATGGGACAAACCCTTGAAATTAACATTTCTTCTACCTGTGTCAAACCTCTCAATTGTTCAGGAACTATTCCTGGGTCCATGTCATTCTCCGCACTGAATTTCTTGGGTGATTTCTTGTCTCTTTTACACCGGTAACAAATGTATACTTCTGATGCTAAATTCTGTCGTGTCGGCCAAGCTTCTTTACACATTATACATTGTCGATGCTCTAAATGTTCTTGATCTAAATGAAAACTGTGCATTTCATTTTGTACAAACTCTAGCTCATGCAGAGGGTTGTCAACATTTTGCCAACCACCCTCATGTAAATATTCATTTCTACTCACCTCTGGCCCCTCTGCTTCATGTACAGACTCACTATCCTCGTCTGCTTCAGGAACAGATATATCTACAGTTGCATCAACAGACATACTCAACTGCTCATTTGATTCTTGGTCATTTTCATTTGAACTTGCTGTGTGAAAAACTGCTCGTAGTATTTCAAGTATTCTTGCTCGTTCATCAACTGTTTCGGTTGCTTGGTCTTGTTTTCTCTTTTGTAGCCTGTTTGTTCCTTCTGCTTCAGACTCATTTTGCATTTTATCTAAATCATACACCCTTTTATACCCTTTTCGCTTACCCTTAACTTCTGGAGTCCTTTCTTGCCACGCTTCTCTTTGTTTTGCCAAGCGAGTTTCTCTTTCCTCGGCACTTTCTCCAGCCTGTTTCTGTTGCCTATAGACTCTCATATACTCATTTTGCTTACCTTTTGCTTCAGCAGTCTTTTTTTTCCATGCTTCTCTGCGCTTTCCCAGGCGAGTTTCTCTTTCCTCAGCAGTCTCCTCGAGCAAACGTTGTCGTCTTCGCTCCCTTCTTTTCGCCAGACGCTCGGCTTTCTTATCGTTTTCTTGTCGCTCTTCGTTTGGTTCCATATTTTTTCAATGGTATTTGATACCGTAATTGTTTTTATGAAACTTTTTATATAACAAATTGCTTTTAAAGTTGTCAAAAGTTTTTGCAAACGTACAAAATACTGTAGTGCAAAAACCAAATTATTTTCATGAAGTATCTGTCAGTTGAAGTCGTCATTTGCCATACAACAACAAATTTTAAATTTGACCAATCAGTGTTCGCTATTCATGACAGTCCGCCATATTTTTGAGATCAGTGAGGATGACCACCCATCGTTGGTGACCGACGCCCGCGATGATTGATGAACTTTAAACTCCGCTAATGCTTTCGTTTCCCCGGGTGTAAATAGCCGGGGGGAATTAGTACCCTCGCACGGCGCTTCGCGCCGCCGGCTCGGGGATTATCATTGTTTTGGTGTAAAATAGTTAATATTTTGTTACCGAAATAATAATTAGAAATGTATACCTACCTCCTGCAAATGGACGTATTTGGCCAATTTCGCCACTTTACTCCGCTGTTTATCGCCGATCTCGTCGAAATCCTTCTAAATATGCAAATCATCTCAAACATAATCGTATCAATCACATTTTAAACAATAGACCAGGCTGTACTGGCGCTAGGTACCACTTCGCGGCGGAGAAATCAAGACTATGTTTTTTGGATAGCCGTATGCATTGTTGTAACGAAAATCGATGGTAAACGGGGCGCCCGTAATGATCTTGGGTGAAATACGACAATTACTTGTACATGCCAGCTTGCATGCTTGCATGAACCGCCGGAGCGAAACTTCGTGGCAACTTCCCTGCAATGTTGTTGCCCCATCTTTCAAAATTTACGTTAAACACATCTTTATACTTCGTAAAGTATCTCTTATATTCTATATAACGAGATAAAGTATTTTTTTATTGCATCCCCGAATATTTTGGGCCGTATTATTAATAGTAATTTATCACAATACTGTATTAATGAGCTCTATATGTAATTGGAGTGATATCTCGTGCTCATTATCGTGCAAAGACTGAAGATAACACGGCGGACATGTGGCTCTAAAGTACGTGTATCCTACGCCGTTTTTGACAGGATCAGAACTTGACCAGACCGCGCAGAAGATTGGCACTATATGTACTTCAAGAACAAAAGGATCGCGGGCTCTAAGAATATATGAAGCTCACTGTGCAGTATAAGCTAAACCTTTTTGTTTGTGCATTTGCGGTCACTTTTAAATATTAAACAATGCATTTTTTTATATTTTCTTATGGCTATAGCAAGGTGAGTAAGTGTGGAGGGACTTACAGTCCAATTTAAAAGTAAATTTATATATATATATAGTGTATTGTTTTCTCTAGTTAAAATTATTATACAAAATACATTTATGATAAAATAATATATTATTTCAAACCGGCACAGAAATTTTTAGACTTTAACTTTAATACTTTATTATTTTTAGTTTGATTTAACAAATTGCCAAGGCCATGCATCATTAAGACTGTAAAGTTATTTTAATCTCTATATCTTAGCTATTATAAGCTAACAATTCTTTATTCAACTTGGTCAATGCCTTTTATATAACACTAGTCATAATTGACATGCACTTAAATGGCTTCCCTTGAAATTTTGAGTTTTTGTTTACCGAAATTGTACCGAAACTTGAGTTTTTGTTTGTGATTCATGTTCTATAATGTTAACCTTTATGATGCATATTTGGCCAAAAATCACCTGCAAATAGATTAACACAAATTACACATTGTATCATCTCGTTTAGGAAAGCAAAAATTTCAATTTTGAATCAATTTACTTGAAGTATTATTTTACTTTCAATTTGTATATAGACATGGATCAGCGTAAATGCATTGTTCACTACGACATTAAAGATACCAAATATAGTAGCATAAAAGAGCTTTCTTCTGTTAACAAGGAAAAAATTTATTCGGCAAAATGTATTCGCGAGTCGTTAGGAGGTAAGAATCATCATGCAGAACAGTGCCAATTAATTCCAGAAGAAATTAACCCAGTTCAACACGGCATACATCTCGTTCCTTGCTATAAAAAGTTTACTTTGATCCTCTCGAAAGAAAAAGATCGCTCCTCTGAGAACTCTAATAATGAAAGCCTTTTAATGGAGCCTCGCCCAAAACGAGCGAAAACATCACATGCTAGCAATGTCTACCCCAATGAATATATATATATATATATATATATATATATATATATATATATATATATATATATATATATATATATATATATATATATATATATATATATATATATATACTATTTTAACTAGATATAGCATTATAAATGTTATATACTGTATTGGATTGTGCGTCTGTACGCACATGCTATAATATCGGCGTGTACGCGTAGCCTATAAGACGTATAATAATACGAGACGAAATTTACATAACATTTCAGTCAATTTAGTAAAATACATAAATACTGCGGCTTAATACAGGCAGTTTCAGTGTGTTTATACTTTGTCTTTGTTTATGCTTCTTGTGACATGTGGACTTTATATATTAATCAGATAGCTACTTAATAATACTATATTATTTATACCTATTTTAAACCACAAGAACACGACAATGTAGCATGGCCTTGTGTAATACGATCTCTACAGCATGTATACAACAAGTAAAATGGATCATGTTGCCATTGTGAATATTATTCATGGCGCATGTTTCTGCTACGAATGAAACTCGAGGAGCAGTGAATTAAACGTGGAAATTCTCTTCCTGCTTAACAATCAATCAAATGTTTTAAACTGCATCACTATATTGCAAAATGTTTTGATCATCCATGTCAAAGGAAAAATATGCGATTAAATAATAATTTTTAAAACGTCAAGTCATCGTTCTCAATCTATTTCTCGATGAGAATTGGAAATTTCATCAGTGCGCGAAGCGCACGCATTGAAATTATAATTTCATGAGCAAACCGAAATAAGATATAATAGCGTATTCTCCACGGCTTCCGGTCAATTCAAGCCATTCAAAGTCATAACGAGACCCCCAAAAGACTCGTTCCCATGCTTCCCCTTTCTTCTCCAAAATGGATTGGAGTTAGAGAGCAAAACAAACGAGTCACAATCTAAAAGAGGAACCTTTAATTTATTATACCGTTTATAATATTGTTACACTATTGTAATACACCGTGTATAAACATCAATATCTCAAACACGTAATGTAAACTTTAACATGTGCTTTAACATGCACTTTAACATGTACTTAACATAGTTCATAACATATTTATAACATTTCACAAGAATCTGGACATCTTAACTTCACTCCTCAGTTGCCTTTAGCACCTAGAATAGCAAAAGCAAACCGAAATAAGATTGATATTAAGAGGAGATTTTTTTTAAAAGTCGCGTATTTTTTTCGAAAAGCGATCAAAGCTTAGCGGCCAGGCCTTCGCGAAAAAATAATGCGCCGCCATCTTGGTTTTAAAAGTTTCCCAAAATTTGCGAAGACAAATTTTACTAAATTTTTGTCTATGTTACGAGCCAAAACATTGCCAAATATAAAGACAGATGACATGGTAAGTGTAATGTCGTATTTAATAACTGTTATTTGAATTATTATTATATAAAATGTGCACATGTATCTGACTCAGGAGTGAGCACTGAGCATTCAAACCCGTCATCTATAATAATATTAATATAAAACTGATTGAAAGTGACTGCTTTCGTTCTTTGAATGATGGCCTGCCTGTTCACAACTCATTAATATATGTACATGCAAAATTGTTTGAATTTTCAAGGAAGAATTTGTCAATTTGAGTATTTGTAAACAGTTTTTCGCCTCTGGTACTTTTGCATATTTCCACATTAAAGACATTTCACTGCAAGTGCACATAGTCCATGTATCTGTAATTTTAAACTTCATACTGTTTTGTACACATGCAGCTGTTGCAGTGTTTCAGGTATAACATGCTAGTCACTACAAGTTCCCTCTCTGATATAAAGAGTTGTGATGTACTGGCCATGGTACCGTAAACTTGCGACTATAAGCCACCCCCCACCCCCGAATATAAGCCCATCACATGTACTAAAGCTTACCTCATCCCAAATATAAGCCCACCCTGAATATAAGCCCCCTCCCCCCCAAATTGATATAAGCCTAGTAATTGCTGCTTAATACATTTTTAATTTCCTGTTTATGACTGACTTGTATATGTTTGACTTGTTTATTACTAACACAAAAGATCATCCATGTATAAGCCC